TTTTTTTTTTTTTTTTTCTTTTCCCACTTTCACCTCTCCATTATTGCAAAGTATAGAGACCCACCACTTTCCACAGGATTTTCTCCATATGTGATACAGACAACTAGCTGCAACATCTATATTCCCAGATCAAAGATTTATTATATTCACTGATATTTCTAATTTATCAAAGGGGAGCACACTATCTAAGTGGGTTCCATGCTCATACTTCATACCTACCTGGATTGAAAGCCTTCCGAACTCACCATATGTCGGCCTAAGAAAAAAACAGTGAAGAAAAGTTGCTAACCAGATACAGAATAATGGCCGAAACTATTCCTGAACTTTGGACCGAGAATTAGGTTCTACTTTGTCACAAAAAATTCTGCATTTTGAGAAAATTACTCGTTTGGACTACTTTGTCACAAAATTAAAAAAAATATTAGAAAAGCGCTCGGTAAGTTTTACAGATTATACAAACCTGAAGGTGGTAATTGTCAAGTAAATACAAACCTGAGGTATTTGCAACACCTTAGAAGGTACTGATTCACTTTGTGAGTGTGTGTGTGTGAGACAGAGAGAGAGAGATGATTTTACTGCAAATGGTATTGTCACCAGATTGTAAAACATTAGTATACTTTTTAACAAAGTCCAACGGGAAGCAGTTAAAATTAATGTAGTTTCACAGCAGATAAGAAGAAAATGGTGAGTGGGGGAATCTCAAGCTCGACAGGAGCACCAATGTAAAATGACATAAGCATTCCCCACTGGAAAACCAAGCATCAGTTAGTGGGGACAATGAACAGACATATGACAGATCTAAGATGTCTTCTATAACACTGCATCATGTAGTCAGTCTTGATCTATTCCATTCCGATATATATAGTAAACCAAATTAAGAGTCAACAGAAGGATTCAAAACAATACTTCCATAAATTAGCCGTACTTTCAACTCAAAAAAGAAAAGAAAAGAAAAAAAAAAAAAGCGCCCTTTGGAAAGATTTGGCCAGCCAGAGGAAGAAATGATGTCTAGTGAAGAAAGTATAGATCAAGAAACACAACAAAATGAAGGAGGGTGGCTAAATTTGAGCCTGGGAAGTAATCCACCACAAACCCTCGTTGAAGACGAGGTGCAAACAAGACTCGCTTCAGCCAAGATTTTCTCATGCAATTTCTGCATGCGAAAATTCTACAGCTCTCAAGCACTAGGCGGGCACCAGAATGCACACAAAAGGGAGAGAGGCGTAGCAAAGCATTACCAGTCGCACAAAATGATGACGATGATGGCTATGCCTTCCATGTTCAGATCGCTTGGGGTGCAAACCCATGCCCTCGTGCACAAATCAGGCAAAGATGTGAGTGCAAGACTCGGCATAGCATGCCAGCCTGGCAAAAGCCAGGAAGCTGCAGATTTGATGTGGCCCGGAAGCTTCCGGCTGGATCCACAACTATCGGAGCAGAAATCATCAGTATCGAATAAGCTCGACTTGAGTCTTAAACTGTAATCAGCTTATGGATGTGTTTTACCCTAGATAATAACACACTCTTGTGATTTTTTCCAAAGAATAAAGTTAGCCATCAATCGGTATTTAAAGCTCAGGACGTCAGTAATCAGTTAGAATCGAGTAGAACTTTCATTAATAACGAAGGTTTTGACTTTTATTCGTTTTCTGGTAAAGAACTTTCCACTCTTTATTTGTTATAGAGTAAGCATATTTAAGCTTAGACACCTGAAGAGGAGCCATCTAGCACTACTTGAACTTGATTTATAAAACGAAAAGATTGGCAAAGTCTGTTTTGCCTCACCCAAAACCCATACTTATGGTTTATTTGCATTAATCGCCTTGAAAAAATTTCAGATCGCTCAGTGGCTCCGTCTCTTTGGAAATAAAAGGCGAAAATGAGAACTAAAACACTGAAGGGGGTCTACTTATTTGGAAATCGACAAGGCTTCCACAGAATTCCTCAGTAAAAGCCTGCTCGAGGCACTGTTATTAAGGTATTTAAGAAATGAAAAGATCCTTACAGGTATATCCTCATTCGTCTACCACAAACAACCAAAAGCAGTAAAAATATAACCGTAAGATTTCAATGAGGCACTCCCAGAAATTTCCAGATCAGCTATTCGTCCTGAATCTCTCTCTCCCTCTCTCTCTCTCTCTCTCTCT